GATTTCATGACGGGGCGGTGACTGACGACAGGTTTGTGCATCCAGTTGGCAAGACGTTATGAAATTGCGCAAATGCGCGAGTGCACAGAACATTTCCGCGCTGTGATATCCGACACCTGCAGCCGTAGTAGTAGCTTGTCACTCCGTGGCCCCCGTATTTGAGCCAGAACTGAGCGTGTACCTGAGAGAATGTCGGACAACAAGAGTTGCATAATGTAAAGAAGACGGTGATTGAACCGATATTTGCGCTATGTGCCATGGCAACCTGCGAATCTGCTGTGCGACGCAGCAAAATCGGCGTCATGGCCCGCATGAACGGGGCTCCAGACAGAGGAGATAACTTGCACAAAAGCCAGAGACGACTGACTTATTTAGGGCGGCAGCGCAGCCGATACCCAAAGCGGAGGCTCAACCACGACGAACGGACCCCAAGTTCGAATGCAGGCATCAATCAGACCGAGTGCCAGCCCTTGAGCAAACAAACATCGCCTTGGCGCCCACAAGCCACCCCGGATGTCTGTCGTCTGACATCTCGACTGCAGGTCTTAGACGAGTTTTCCGCTGTGGCCCGCTGTGCGCCCGTTCCTCCGATTCTGCGCCCATTGAGCTGTTGACTCGTTGAACCATGGACCATGGTGCACCGTGCATCTCCCCATCTGCTCCTCCTCCCGTCTTTCCTTTCCATCGTTTACGCGCGTAACTGTGACTTCGTTTGCACTTTGCATGCGATAACTTCTTGAGCGTTGCTGTTGTTGAGCTTCGGCCCGCTCGTTCCATTCTTTACTGCCTTGGGCAAGCCCTTCCACTCTCTTTTTGCAATTACTGGCGAACCTATACCCTCTCTCAGGACGACGACGGAATCCACGCGCAGCAGACAACTTCTTGTTTTTTGAACATCGTTTTCCATTTTGCATCGACAAAATCCTTTCCATCATTTGGCATCTGGTCCAACTGGCTTTCCCTCCTTTTTATTGTTTTCACAACCTTTTACCAAGGCCAAGCTGAGACATTGCACCACTCCCTCAGACCCAACACGCTCGTGGACCAATAATTTGCTGGTACATTCTTTGTCTCCCTCGTATTCGATCACCCTGACATTCCAGTCAGTCACTCAATACACCAGCCGCCACACTAGCTCTGAGCAAATACATGCACCAGGCTGGGAGCACACGCGCTATTATTATCTCTGGGCTCTGGGCACCTTTTCAGTCTCAGCACTTGGACTTGACACGATGCCTCACTCGCATCATCGGCATCATCACGAGAGACGTGATAGTTTGCCCAATATGGACGACCTCTTCCGTAATCCGTTTGGAGACGACAGCAGCGTGAATGAGAATGCTCAACGGGATACAGGCGAAGGTAAACACTATTCTGGACTCAATGCTTTTCATGCCTCGATGTGATTCCTGCGGTTGCATTGCAGATATTGTCGTCAAACTTGTGCATCCAGAGCTGACACGAAACCATAGGCAACGGCCCGACACTTATCCGTACTGTTTATAAGACTATGGCGCCAACTTTCGAAGGACCCATTGCCGGCTACTCGACGATCAATGAAGATCCCAATCCAAAGCCAACTCAGGACTCGAGGCCTACCAGCAAACCAGACCCCAAGCCCACTCCGTCGACGACATTCACGACGAAGCCGAAGCCCGAGGAAACACTCTCGATGCCTACCGTCATTTCCAGGCCTGCCTCGAGTAGTTCGGTTCCCGAGACATTTCTCATCAAGGCTACTGGGAGCCCTACTCTGTCACCATCGATTGACTATGGCGCTCAGCCCACGTCAACACCAACATTGAACTTCGTCTCCAGCACACCTACGTCGGACTCAACGGCTGCTAAAAGTGGCGATGAAGGTACTAGCGCGGGAGCAAAAGCGGGCATTGCCTTTGGTGTTCTGGGTGGCGTGTTTCTTGTTGGCCTAGTCGCTTTCCTGTTGTTCAGCCGTCGCCGTCGACAAGCTGCTGAGCACCGCGGTGCCCACAACGAAAAGTCCTACGCCAATGCCAATGCCAATACATTCGACCCCGTGACTGCTCGAAGCGATCATCATGCTCCCCGTATTAGTTTGCGACCGGTCACCCAGTTCCTGCCTAATTGGGGCCTGGACAAACGCACAAGCAAGAGTGCTGGCATGGCATTAAATTCCGCTGCGGCTGTTGGAGCGAATAATCAGAACAATGCTATATGGGAGCGCCCGTCTACTAGCCAGAGCACTCACCCTGCCAATCCCTTTGGCAACCAGGCAGAGCGTGTTCGGGAATCAAAGAGTTATGAAAAAGGTGCTGTTCCTCGCAGTGACCCTTTTACTGCCAATGGCCCTGCAATTGCTGCCGCAGCTGCGGCTGGTGCAGGAGTGGTTGGTCTGACAAGGAAGGCTTCAATGCGCAACAATACAGAGCGGAATATTGACCTCACTCTTCCTCCCACACTTGGATCAATACCACCGAGCCCTGCTGGAACAGAGTTCAGCATGACTTCTGCTTCTTCTGGTGCCCCAATGCCTCCGTCTAACGGTGCGGCAGCAATTGCGGCAGCTGGGGGACCGCCTAACTCCAATGTGCACAGGGTTCAGCTTGACTTCAAACCTTCATTGGACGACGAGATGGAATTGAAGGCTGGTGATCTCGTTCGCCTCCTACACGAGTACGATGATGGGTGGGCTCTTGTTATCCGCCTGGATCGGTCCCAGCAAGGTGTCGTCCCCCGAACGTGTCTGTCAACTCGCCCTGTGAAGCCCCGAGCTCCTCAAGGTGGACAACGACTTGGACCTCCAGTCAACCCAAATGGACAGTATCCCAGAGGTCCTAATCAGCCCCAAGCTCCCGGGCAACGGCCAATGACACCCCAGGGCCGACCCGTGACTCCTCAAGGCAGACCAATGACTCCCCAGGGCACGGCGCCTCAGGCTCGTCCTCGAATGGGGCCGGGAGGTCCTGGTATCCCGAGTCCTCGACCCATGAGCCCTGCAGGGCCTCCCCCAAGTCCTGCACCTCGTTATAATGGACCACCACCGTTGCCAGTGCATCCTGGAAGCCAACCTGCAAGTCCAGTTGGGATGAACCGACCGACAGGACCCGTTGGACCTGGACGTATAAACCCTGCTCAGTCACCACCTCCGGGTCCGCCTACTGGGCCCCCAACTGGACCAATTGGCAGAAAACCGGTGCCCGGTCAGGCTTATTGAGGCACGTGGCCACATAGCCTGAAACAATATGATCCGGCAACTCAAAAGCGAATACTGCAAGTTTGGTTTGGGAGTCAAAAGAGGAGCATGGATAAAAAATGGATGGCGTTTTGAGATGATGGGCAGTTGGATGGATATCATACTACCCTGGTAACTATTTATTTTCTTTTTTTTTTGCTGGGGATGATGGCGACCAGATTACTGGGAATCAACGAGCCAAACAAGAAGCCTCAATATTCTTCGACGTGTTTTTTGACTTTTTTGACTTTTGCAGATTTTTCTGTATTTTGTTGTTTTCCCTTCTCTCTTTCATGTTCCGTGTTTTATTCCCAGCCCAATATTTGGCCCTGACTTTTTTTGACTTTGTTCTTTTTCTTTTTGATGTTCATATATTTGTTCACGTATGGCGGATGGCTTACCACCACTGTCAACTGCTGCGTATTGTAGCTGTTTCTGGTTTCATTTGCGGCGCTTTTATGATTTTTGGAGGGAGCCTTGGAGTATGGTAATACCAAGGAATTGGTGATGGAAGCAATGCACTGGCACAAATGATCTCTGCTTAATGATGACGAGTACAGATCTGGGGCTCGACTTTGACACGAGCGTTTGCTTTTACGCAAGGTGCTTAACATGTATAAGTCCTTGATCAGGGCTGAACCCTGGTCTGAGTATGGGACTGGCTGGATGGGTTAGCTACTGGGTGAGGATGATGAAGTAGATGCTAGAGAGTCGCAGGACCGTCAGGATGTCACGCGATAGGATTATAAATGTAACTGAGATATTCAATTACCGTTCATCCGCGAACAAGTTGTTAGATGCCCGCTGATAAACTGCGTATCAGCATCCGAAAGAGAGCAAGCCGGCTTTAGCAAATCCTCAAAGTTAGCTGAGCGGGAACGGGTATACTCTCATACTGACACGCCTTCACTTTGGCCAACGAAACAAGACACCAAACTAAACGAGTATTTCGTCATCATGGTCAAAGCAGCTGTGTATTTACTCATTTTCGCCGTAAGTCTTGGCACGACCAGACTATCGCCTTACACGGAGGATACTTCCGCAGTCCCCTTTATCCTCGTGTCCTTCGCACGACGACACCAGGGCTCTAAACCTCGACAGGTCTTTTGGAGGAAAGTGTCGAAAGGGGCAAGCGCGACAAGGGGACCCTTTGTGCTGATGGAATGGTCCGATGGTGGAACGCGGCTCTGAACTTGAACGAGTATATTGGTAGCGAGGAGGGGAAATTGGTCTACCAGGATGGGTATGTTTCACGGGTATTGCAGGAGGGCAAGTGGTACTCGGTGACTGATTATGGGACTCGTTGATAAGATCTGTCGGCCTTGCATCCTTGACGGGACGGTTGATGGGTCCAACGGCCGCCGGATTTGAAGTGCACTTTTGTGAAGGTGAAGGATGTGCCCTGGTATACTTGCTCTCTTATGAATAGGGCAACAAGGTATGTAATATGTTGTGATGGCGTCGCTGATATATGTTTGGTGATGGTGCTGATTCGTCGTGCAGCATCTGGCGAATAGGCTCTCAGGGTGGAGGATGGGGGCTCTCTGTTTGCGGCAGTCACAGGGGGATTGGTATCCCCCCCTTTTTTTTCCCGGAGAAGGTAGTTAGTATGAGGAAGCATGATGTTTTGTGAAGCTTGTGGGGAACTGGGATGATTGTTGGTGATGGCTAGAGGGGACGAACTACACATAGCTCGACAGCGAAGTGACAACAATATTCTCGTCGAAATAGCTGTATTGGTCCTACTCCGATGGGAAATACCAACTAGCACCGCGTGAGTACAGCTCGCTCAAAATAAGAACTTTCCTCCACATCCGCCGCAAACCTCTCCCGCCGATTCGACTACTGCATCTGGTCCCAAATGCTCCTTCGCAATCCGGGACAGCTCGGATAAGTTGAGACATCGCAAATCGCATACTGAGCACACCCTGGACACGCCTGGAGCCATGATTGCAAGTCCTGTAGCAGTGCACGTGGCTGTGAAGCCATACGAGTTAGCAGACAGTCTACCCAAAAGCGAGAAGAGTCCGGCTCACCGAAAGAATGGCCCTTTTCGCAAATCGACTCTATTCCAAACATGACCAAGCCCGTCTCGCAAAAGACGCACTTTTGCTTTGGAATCACACCCTTAAACATCTTCCTTAGCGACGTTTCGTGAACCAACGACCTATCTGTTGTCCCTGACAGGAAACTCGGCATATCTAGTATCCTGCCATACATGGCTTCCCATATGGTCCCTTCCGTGGTCAACTTCGGTACATGGGGCACCGTTGAGTCTGTACGCTCACCAGCATCCCATGAAAACAAGACTGTTGACCGTGGCCGTCTCTCGGCGTGTTGAGTGACGTGCTTCGATACCAGGGCCGCAATGGATCCATCTCCGGGGGAGGCGGCTAGGCCCCAAAGCCGGAAGCGATGAGGATGGACTTTTGATGAGACGGCTTGGGCTTCTTCCGAGACGGGGGTCATTTCGTGGACTTCGGGTTCGTCGAATTCAGAGTCGGTGTCCGATTCGGAATCGATGCCGCCGAGGGCTTCGACGCGGGATACTTGGCGGGTGACGGACCGTTGAATGTATTCGGCCCATTGGGGGAAAGGGGTTGTGGGAGGGAGGTTAGTCTGGTACCAGTCTTGGTTGGTGGGCGTGGCAGAGAGGCGGATGAGGGTGTACAGCGGCTCGGGGGGTTTCATGGATGGATCGGGGTGGTGGATGATGAGGCCTGGCGAATCAGTTGCCGCAAGGAAAATGGTGGACTTGCACAGACGCACCTGTTATGGGATTTGTAGAAATTTCGTCAGGCTGGGGGTATGAAGTTGAGCAATCTCGAGGTGAGTGACGTGCAAGACGGGGACCTGGATTTGCGCAGAGATCAACTTGGAAGGGTTTGACGACGAACGGCGTGGCTATTATACCGCGGGCCATTTGGCCATTGTCATCTTGCCAGATCTGCCAAATGTCAGCTTCTATTCCTGCCAAGCCCCTGGAACAAAGGAATACCGTGTCTTCCCACTTCACAAACGCATCCGCAGATAGAAAGATGCATATCGACGTGGTGTCGGCTTCCTCAACACGGATACTCGGGTCTTGGCCTCGATGCCAGCGTCCCTGAATAGTGACTCGCCGAAATCCAATGTGGTTTTTCCCCAAGTAGGCTATAGTTGCTGTACGGTAGTCGATTGTGATATGCCATGGACTCCACTTCAAGGAAAAGGGACCTCCTGTAGGGACGAATTCCGGATCTGCTGCTTCGGTAGCCTACAATTGTCAGCAAACGCAGGCAACCCCCCCCCCCCCCGGATCCACCCAC